ACTCGGCATGTTTCAACATTTTTGCTCCTGAGAATGACACAGGTGATTTCTGTTTCGTATATTTTCTGTTTTGCAAAGTTTTAGCTACTTGAATCTTAACCAAGTGAACTCCTTCTGAAAAACATCGTTTATTTATTATTTCCCATTCACACGGTTACTTTTGATGAAGTATAAACTTGCTATAAACTGTATATCACGTTAACACATTTTTACTCACGTGGCACTATTTACCCTTAAAGAAGGAAGGTCTACCTTCTGAAACACTTCGAAATTAGGGTTTCCCTTTTTTTATTGGTACTTGTTGTGTTACAGAAAGATCCCGAAAACCAATGAACTCGCAAAATGAAATTTTGTTCTCATATGAAAATCTTATTTTACATGAAAGTTTCTTTTCTCTCCATTGTCAAACCCTGCAAAGTTTTACATTTTGTGATGACTAATATTTAACCTCCCAATGTAAATTATAGCCTATTTTATTAAGAAATTAATAAAGACTTATATGTAAAGCTGTATATAAGTACCAATGTCGCCTGTCATCTGTGATCAACAAACTTTTTAATGCATCTAAACTGGCATTTCTCGATGAAACTGAATAACATTGATTGAGTGGCTATGTATATACATCAAGTACATAATAAAATGTACATAAAATTACCCAAAATATCAAGTGCTTGTCAAAACCTATTCTCTTATTCATTAGGAGAATGACGGTAGGATTTCGTATTCAGTCACGGCTTTTAATATATTGTCTCACTGGCACTTTGAAGTTGGAAAGCTTGGCATTGACACTAACGGCATGAGAAAATGAAAAGAGTTCACATAAGAACGTAGGTTTCCTTGTAACAGACTTGGATAATGGAGAACCAATATAAAGCGAAAGGGTATAGAAGGAATTGAATTTTTTTTTTGTTTGGTAGAAACAAACAGGAAATGAAATACGTTACAGAACATAAGAAGAAGGAAAGAATAAGTAACTAAAGTAAATATGAAGCTAATAACTTACAACAGTGATGAATAACAAGTAAATAAATTACAATAATGATGAATAACATGTAACTAAACTACAATAATGATGAATAATAAGTAACTAAATTACTATAATGATGAATAACAAGTAACTAAATTACAATAATGATAAATAACAAGTAAATAAATTACAATAATGATGACTAATAAGTAAATAAATTACAACAATGATGAATAACAAGTAAATAAATTACAATAATGATGAATAACAAGTAAATAAATTACAATAATAATGAATAACAAGTAAATAAATTACAATAATAATGAATAACAAGTAAATAAATTAAAATAATGATGAATAATAAGTAAATAAATTACAATAATGATGAATAACAAGTAAATAAATTACAATAGTGATGAATAACAAGTAAGTAATTTACAACAATGATGAATAACAAGTAAATAAATTACAATAATGATGAATAACAAGTAAATAAATTACAATAATGATGAATAACAAGTAAATAAATTACAACAATGATGAATAACAAGTAAATAAATTACAACAATGAAAAATAACAAGTAAATAAATCTGGTTTATAAAAATGAACTTAAAGATTTAAACAAAACATAGCAATTCTTATCCGAATTAGTTTTCATTTCAATTGCGTTTTGACAAGGAAATTTAAGTTGAATGGACGGCAACTGGCTGTTGCAGAAACGTCGTCCTCTATACCTGTGTTTCTACAACAGGCAGTTGCTGTCCATTCAACTTAGTTTCATCATGAAAATCTGCCTAGACAATCTATTAAAGAAGAAGGAAATGTAAGTTTTAATAAGAGTACCACACCTTATTGCTGATTCTGGAAACTAATCCCAAGTACAACCTATTCAAACAAAAATGACTTATTTACACAATTGTGTAATGATAGTTTCATTTTCTCACGAGTTATTTTAAGAATTATCGGGTTGTTAATGAAGAACAAGTAAATATCCATGGTTTGTTTGTTTTTTGTTTTTTTAATTTCGCGCAAAGCTACACGAGGGCTATCTGCGCTAGCCGTCCCTAATCTAGCAGTGTAAGACTAGAGGGAAGGCAGCTAGTCATCACCGCCCACCGCCAACTCTTTGGCTACTCTTTTAACAACGAATAGTGGGATTGACCGTCACATTATAACACCTCCACGGCT